CAATCGTTTACTTCAGTTTAGATTCGATTAACCCACGTGCACTGTTCAATAAACTATTGTATTATTGTTTCTTGAAATAAAATCAGATTAAAACGATATATTTTTCAATCGCTAGATTATAATATATGTATGGTTTTGATGTCAAATTAATTTACGAATTTCTATAATAAACAGAAATAATTATTAATCAAACATTGGCTTCGAGTCAAATTGACTCAAAACAGTGCACGAGAGTTAAATGTAGATAAATTTCATGTTACATATCGGATATTTGACGTCTAAACAAAGCTTCCTCTATGTCATGTTGTCATAACAGAGAAAACAAATATTTTTCTGGGTTCGCACATAACTATACTTTTTACGAATTGCCGCTTGTCACCAAAAGACAACCGTTTCTGTCAATTAGATAGGTACATGTAAATGACATCTGTTGCAAGTAAGTTTAAATTAATATCTAATCAGAACTGTGTCAGAACTGCGATAGGTCTGATTGTGAGTGAGATTCATCTTGAACTAGGCGTGGTCTCGGTGAACTCTGTAACTGTCTGCATTTGCCATCAACGCCGCACATTAGGACTGACTTACTCCTTGATTCTATCTGGATAGAACGATGATTAATTTTATATCCTTTCACATTCATTTAGATTTGCTCGGAGACACTTTTTCGGTTAGCTTGCTCCACGAATTTCTCGGCCAGCTCCACAAAGGGTCTGAATTTTCAAGCAGATAGAAATATAAATTTCCGCTGGAGTTTTCCACCATTATCGATAGAGGACCGTTTCTCGTCGATATAGACGTATTTTCACAGGTGTCGGTCTTCCTGCGAGAATACGATACCTACAAGCTTACAGAAACTTCTCCTGACAAATAGTCGACAATCTGGGAATGCACGGTTGCATTCGTGATACTCGTGGACCTTTACCGTTCCAAAACTTTCGCCATAACCATTGCTCATTCAGCTGACACGTTCGGAAAACGTTCTTTGTTTACATTTCCCTGGGCAATACACCTGCATCTCTCTCACTCTCTTACACTCACCCTCTCTCTCCGTCTCTCTCCTTTTGCCTACTTCTCTAACCCCCTAAGGGCTTTCCTCGCTCGAGCATTTTTAACGTGTGTGCATTGGTGGAGTTTCCACGGGGGTCGCAAGTGAAACAAACAAATGTTTGCCACGACACTGTTTCACCACTCTCCGTCATCGGAAATTTTGCCACACTGCGGCGAATATAAACGCAATGCGGTCGTGGTTGCAGACATTAGTGGCTCGAATAATGTTGTCCTTACTAACAATATTTGGATGAAAAAAAAAATCTGAATGGTGAAATTATTTATATTTCGAAAGAGAATGAATTACTTACGTTTACACGGTCTGTTTCAAAAGTTGCGGAACTAAAATTTAAACAGCACTTTACCGTAAAATGATGATGCTCTTGATCATCGAATAAAAAAATTGTCATGTAAAAAGTGATTAGAAAAAAGCAAAGGTAGGAATTCCTTTCTTCTTTAAAGTACGTTATATATTGGGTTAAGAATAAAATAGAGAATTGATTCCATCTGATGAAAATTTTGTTTTGTATTGCATTTGCAGAGCCATATAGACTACAAATGTATAAAAGCTGCAGTTTAATTATTACCAACAATATTTCTTTGAATATTAGCATTACTAGCTTTAATCTTAGTTACATATTTATAATTATGACTGTTTACTATTCCAGTGTGACACTTAAATACCTGTTAGTAGGTATTAATTATGAAGAACATTCAGTATTTTCGAATTCGATATTAAATTCACATACTATTACCATTTAATTAATAAGTTATAAAACAGATCTAAATAATATAAATTATACTTTAACAACATTCATATAACATTAAATCGATTTTAATGATGATAATAAGTCTTGCAGTTAATGTGTTACAAATTAACGTTAATTATAATATTATATCAAAAAAGATGAAATTTCATTATTAGAAATAGAATTTGTGTTTATATAGTAGTAACAATTAAATATTTACAGTCCCAGTAATTCACAAATTAATAAAGGTTATCAAATCGTTTCTCAATTGACAAATGAAATGATTTATCACTTGCTTTTTCGATTAAAAAATTATGAACCAGTTATCATTCATAAAACGTTCAAATTCTCCTAATCCTTTCTCCCTAACCAAACTTCCCAGCACGATCCACGATCAATGGATCACCTCGTCACAGGGACTCCGTAATACGCCATAATGAACTCCGATGGAATTCAATCGGCAGTCCTCGAGAACTTCAACCCCACTGCGTTCCTGTTGCGAATACCTGGCCCATATATTGCGAGGGTTGCACATAAAGAGCAGTGCTTGTGATAGACCATCCTGACAATGGAAACCAGCCCCGCTATCTACGCTGGCATCGTAAATAGCCGCATACGTATGTAGATTGATATATTCTCCGGGCGAAACCCGACAGACTAGATTCCTCAGCGACCCCTAAAATTACCTACTTTACAGAATAAAAATTCTGTCAGCCATCTTTAAACATTAGAGATGAACATGACTCTTTTCTATTAGATTATTATGCGTCAAATTATTCGTAATGTTAGGAAAGACACGTTTCAAAATTCCCAATCGTTGTTATAGTGTCTGCTACTTTTTGAAAATCTTTCCACCCTGGAACACCCTTTAGAAAACTGTAAAATAATATGGAAGAAAGTGTATTGAATTGTTACGGGTCCAGCAAATAATTTAGGCGATGAAAGTAACCTTCAGACAGTGCGCGATGAAGTAACTGTACACAATGTAGGCAGATGTCAGATCAGTTCTGACCAGACAGTGACTAATAAGGGAAGAAATTTTTTTACTCGGAAGAAAAAAAATTTATAAAAAGAAGTTTATTTCGTTTTCGGAACCGCTTATAACGGACTTTGATACCATTTAAAAGGTGGAGTCCTTTAACTTCTAACCATTATCTTTTTAAAACTAAGGTAGCATCTGGGTAACATCTCTTGTAAGTACAGTAAATCATCGATGAGTGTTCGAAGGAATTGTGAAATCTAGAATGCTATTAATTAAGAAGAATTGGAAACGACACAACGAAGCATTTGACTCGATTGCTGTATCACTTGAATATATTCTTTGAACCGTAGACAACAAGAACAACATTAACATATAAACGTCATTTTTATCAACCGATAAGCAAAATGTTTGTAATGTACTACTGTACGTTTCTTCAGGCGACGTTACTCACAATCAGATATTTAATTTATAGGTAGATTTATTGATTTGTAAATCGTAAACATAATAATGCTTAGAAAAGCATTCGCTTGTGATGTTGCATAAGCGAGTCATTTTTTATTAATTTCTATGCAGATTTGTGAAATTCCGTAATATGTTACATACGTGTTATGTACACAAAGTAGATACTTATTGTTAATACTGTAGTAGTCGCAAGTAAACCAAAATTACGTTAAGAAAATAAATATATTGATGTATAATATTAATGCATTTTATAATTTTTTTAGAAACATTATCATATTACTTCATGTTACAATCACTATCACCTTCCTGAATGGGAGCATTTTTCTTCGAAACGCCGTGTACATTTTAAGTGGGTCTAAATTTCTCAACAGTACTTGTACGTACATAATAGGGTTTTTAACGTTAAGGTACAATCGTCGTGAAATTCGATTTTACACGGTTTTACGAGCGTCTGTAATTATTCACTGTCCGACCTTTTTCTACCATTCGATCAGGACAGTAATCCCATGTGTGATGAAACGCGGATTACGCGAGATTTCGTCCGGTCTGGAGGCGCTTTAGCACCCAATCAGTTTTCTTCATGGTGAACGCTGAATTAACAGACAAAACTAACCCCAAAAAATGGGAATAAAATCTACCGAATAATTAAAAAAGTGCCTGAAAGGAGTACATTATTAACTCTTTGTAAAAGAGAATTCTTTAAAACGTTGAACAATTTTCCACACAAAATGGAATGATATATTTAAGTTATAACTATCAGACAGAAATAAAACTATAAGTTGCTTTATTACATTCTTTATATACTTATATAGTAATAAGAACATTGAAAATCTTATCTAACTACATCTATCCGTAGAAATCAAGTTAATGCATGAAAGATTATCTCTTTTGTAAAGTTTCAATTTTGCATTAAAATAACTCAAATTTAGCGACATTTCATTGAATATTCCTCTAATATGCATTTATACCCTTAACGTATAAATAATAACTATTTGCTTAATCAACAACCGTAACGGTTGAACGAAATTAGTTTAATTGTCTAACATTATGAGTTAACAACTAGTAAAAGTAAATAAATTTACTCTTCACAAGTCTAACAAAGCGATTGGAAATTGTATCTATTTGTAAATTATGAATTTGATTAATCCACAACTGGTCAGGTGCAAAATTTATTAGTTACTGCTCGTTACACAAATCTTATTACTTATTACACAACTGGTTGTCTTATATTCTCATGTGAGAAAACATCGAAGTAAGCAAGCATCCCTTTAAGTAACTATTGAATAAAAATAAAATATTCTAAGAGAATTCATTAGGTTTCTCAGACCCGACCTGTGGTTAAATGCCTAGTTTTTCTAAAGATAGCCACAATTCTGAATAAAATCAATGTTTTGAAAAATCCCTAGGTAGTTTCATAGTCTTCTACATGTACATAATGAAGATTGTTTTTGTTTCACTTTAGGATAAACCGTGTGGCTGAAAAGTTGTGCATCGGTTGCATTTGCAAAAAAAGATGGTATCGCAATTAAGTCAAAGCGCTGTCATTTTGCACATAAAAAACAAACAAACATATTTTTGTACTCTTCAATATATATGAATAATACAATCCTCTAAACAGATTTTTCATAAAGCAATTTATTTACCCGCAATAAACAGTCGAAATTAGATATGATTTTAGGACCTGAAGTGTAGCTTAACCCCTTAATGCTTAATTCGACTGACGCAGGAAATGACTAAGTAAACTAAATAATGTTACTCACCACATCGATGAGCTGCGATAGCTTCAATTTGATACACACGCGCAGTACGTCCGAGGTATTCACTACAGGCCGCACTAGTTTATTGTAATTAGATAGAAGATCGTCGTAAAGACGTTTGGCATCCGGATTGCCAGCGACAGCACCGTGAACCACCAATGCGGAGAGGAACCATACGCGAAGTGTTTCCCCTATTATGGGGGGCATCATGGTCCCTTGATTCCTCCACTATGACCGACACACACGTCACCCTTTTAACCCTCCCTCGGCACGAACCGCGAACCACAAATCTGTAAAATTACAAATAGAATTGAAATTAATTAATTTTGCATCTCCTGTGATAATTATCTTCTGGATGTTTATGCAAATTCGTATTTCTGATATTAAATTTTGCGGAGATGAAACCAAATAAATGCTTATTTATTTCCTCCATTAAACAAACAAAATTGTCTGCCCTATTAGATTCAGAATTTGATTGCATTTTATGATCAATACGAATTTTATTAACACTTTACCAGGTAACGTTACTCTGATATTTAACTTTTAAATAGAATTATTGATTTCTGAGTCGTTAACATAATAAGGCTGTGATAGTTGCTCACTTGTGATTTTGAATAAGCGAGACATTTTTTGTGAATTACTGTATTTATGAAATTTCAGTGAATGTTTTTATAGTGTTGTATTTAAGATGGTTTGATTGATAATGTTAAGAAAATGTTTAGAAAATTAAAATACGAGACATATACAAATTGTAAACATGCAGAGTCGACATTTGAAAATATAAAGGTGGATTGTAACTTATTGTTAGTGTCATTGACAATTATTGTATCAAACTTGTTGTGAATTACTATATTAGTCAGTTCATCAATTATTATAGTAGTTTATTTCTGGATTACTGTATTTCAAAACTGAAAACACATTCTGATGAATTATTTTAAAACATCCACCTGATTTTGGGATTCTGCGTAAAGTATAATGGACGAAAGTGGAGTTAACAGAATCCAAAGTATTCTACAGCTTATTGTATACTTTATTCTATAGAAATTGCAACAAGATATACGAATATCTAAAATATTGCAAAAAATTTGCCTACAGTTTTTCACTGCAGTGAGAATGAGACAAAAAAATAAGTAATCGTAACCATCGGTATTTACCTACAAATACCAAATTGCAAATATATTGTAGGGTAATGGTTTAAGCGGTAATTATCGATATTAAAAAAAATACAAATGAATTTATTCTAGATATTTTCTCAACCGTTTTGTGAGTTTGAAATTGTATAACAAACTTGTAGAATTTGTGATAATATGTAAACAGTATTAAAAATCACCTTGTACATGCATTACATTACACAATAATTTGTAACGTGTATTAGCCGTCTTTACACATCCTCAATATTATTTTTAAAGTAATTATGTTGGAATAAATGATATCTTTTTTTTCAACGAAAGAGGCATACAGTACAATTACAATTGAAAACATTTTTTTATAAAATTAAAATTTTACCCAATATATTTTTCCGACTCGTCATGCATAAGTTTCGTAAAATCTAATATAACACAAATGCGGTGAACCTTGTTATTTGCCTTAAATATTTATAAGAAAATTCATGAATTACCTAGCACCCAATATCCATTTCTCTGCACGGATTTTTCTATCGAAACGCTCCGTGAATCGCATGAATGCATTATCCACGTCATTAAACTTCGAGTTGTATGTGCGAATTCGAATTGAAGATAAAGATTTCCTTCGAATTTCCATACAAATGTACCGGAATGAAAATTACCACGCTAACCGCTACAACGAGGTAAACTGTAATGACAATTTAAATTCCTTTCCTTAATCTGAACCATTACAGACTTATTAAGTTTAAATTTGTATTGTCCTCTGTTTTTATTTATATTTTGTTCATTACATAGCAGGATGTACAATAAACACATATAATGAGAATTATTTCTTGGAATATTGAAAGAAATTGATTTCATGTTATGCAAGACAACTTAATATTTTTTTAAATACATGAATCAACATGGCGTTCATTGAAATAACTAACTAATCTCTGGCACGGTGATAAAACAATCGAAGAGATTCTTTACCTTTCATTGCAATAATAGTGATTGTTCCGTTAAAGTGATTTATGACTTGTTTTGAACAATTTTCATTAGTTTTAGTTAATACATTTTACGAAACATGGGAATTCGATTAGAAGAAAATGGATGTCTTAGCACTTAAAGTATGCTACGCGACAGTATTAATAGCTTTTTAATGTCACGGAAAATACAATTACAGCAACTCTCTTAATATACATTAACGTGGAACCGATGTACGATAAATGAAGTTATTTAAATTAAATTCCAGAGCACGCTACGAATCCAATTTTCATCTTCTAACGATAGATCGCTGGAGACGCTTTGCGTCTTTTCGTTTCATTCACTCTTCCGTAATTTCGACGACCTGTTATAATACTTGAAAACTAAAGGTCAGAAAGTCACCAAAAATTAGAAGTTCTATACGTGTTTCTTCGATCAGTGTTTTTAATATGTGAAAAATATTACACGGCGAAATTCAGGGTCAAGAACCATTAAAATTAATTTACGTAGCGTTACAGTACCTATAAACTTATTGTAACGTTATAATAAATTTATTAAAAATTTGTAGTAAGGAAAATAAGGGTCATCCTATTTTTTTAAATTCAGGTTTGTTAGTTCTGAAACAATATCATACTTAATCCATTTATTGTAATTCCACTAATACTATAAGCAACTGGGTTCGTACTTGTATATTGAACTATTCTCACACTTTTATATACGTATATGTTGAAATACTTTAATAATATTACCAATTGTATTAACAGTAGATTTTACATCATTAAATTCATTAATGTATCATTCTTTTACAGCCTTTAAACTTAATTTAAGTATTCTGTACTATTTTTTCATTAACTCACTCTTATTGTATTAACATTATACAAGCTTCATATTAAAGATAACAATTAAGACATTATTAAATCAAACACTGCAGGAAAATTTTACGTATATTTTCTATAATTATGTATGGAGTGTCTCAGCTAACTGAGCAAAATATAATAATAATAATTAATAACTAATGATCATGACTACAATATAATCGCGACTACCTGCAAAATTTTGTTGGTTTTCTTTCAGTTATTTTCATTATATTCATATATCCAAAAAAGCTAAACAATAAAAAAAATAATAAAAAGAAGTTTATTTATATTCATTTTCAGAGCTGCTTATGACGAACTTCGACACCATTGTTCTGGTCGATACTGAATTTTCCGGGCAAGTGATACTTATTTCAGTTTTTAAGACGTCCAATGGGTATTATAATTTTTTACTACATATTATATTCTCAGAATTAATTTCATATCTGAGTAACTTTCCTTGTCAGCATTGCAGTAATAACGACGCTCGGTTCTATATACTTACTCATTTACAATATTATGTATATACAGGGTGTCTCAGCTAAAAGGGGTCATCCAAATATCTGCCTTATTTACTATTGTATAAAAAAACTCCTCAAAACAAAATTGAATTATTTGAAGAGGTTCATGTCATGGTGGAATGAATATTTCTCAAGGTTATTTTTTGTACGAGATTTCAAGGTAATCGAAATGAAATCCTAGACATTTGTCCGATTCCTTATAAAGCATGAAAAGAACAATTTCAACGGCCTTAACAACCACACCATTTTGATAATTTAATCTCGAGATATTTGCATCAGAAGGATATTTCCTAAAGATTCACGCGGCACATCGATTTTCACATTCGTATCCAAACGTAACAAAGCCTGAATCTTCAGGAAATTTTAGTATATCGAAAAAAAGTATAGAATTCCATTTAAAAAAATACCGATGACTTTTTGCATACAATAATAAATAAGGCCGATACTCAGATGATTCCATTCAGCCGAGACACCCTGTATATATAATCAGTGACGATTAACTGATTAATTATTGTTATGATGATCCCGGTTACAATAATTAATCAATTACGAAAGTAATTACAAGAAAATCAATTACTTGGCAATTCGAGCAAATACACCGCACAAAAGTTTGAATCTCGATTAGAAATGAGGTGGAGAGTGGCAGCATGGTTAATTCATCAGGAGCGAAGGCAAACACGAGCGCAGGCGTCGCTATTAAAGGACAACGAAGTGCTGTACCCATCATTTCCGAAGCGGTGCATCGCGAATCGACCAACGACTGATTGATTCGCGTATCTCGCGGAAGGCCATTAGAGGAAAGTACGGCGCAATTCGACGAGATAACCGCCGGATGTAAATTCCTGTCTATATCTGACAGCGTTTAATCCGATTTTCAACGATCGTTATGCAACCTGTCTGATCAGTTCAGGTGAACCACTCATCGGTGTTGGTGATTAGGATAAACTCAATGGTTCTCCCACTTGGATATTAAACTCCTAACTCACAAAATTTCACTGTATTATCCAGACCACGTAAACTGAAGATGTTATCATCCGTGTTTCAGAGTTTAGGGTGGACCTTCTTCGGTTTGCATTCGTTGTATCGAGCGGATTCCTCATCGCTAATTGGTATTAATCCATGACTGTGTGACTGTGTGGAAGCTAATTGTTCGTTATATTATTAGTAATATAGGATTCCTGTGTAGCTTTACAAAATTTTGATAAAATGAATTTACACATTAAAGTGAAACTTCAAGAATCAATTGTAAACGATATATACGGTTTTTCATTAATTTCGAAATTGATGTTAAATCATATAAATTGTCAATGCAAAATATTGTATTTTCATTGAAAAAACATGTGGTTTTACATTTGAAAATTATGATTATGTTGTAGACGTTTATGTTAGAAAAACAACATGAAACTTACTTTCAATAATAATGATATAATTACAAAGAAATGATCTTGAAGTTCACTGAAAATTTTGTTTTACTGTATACACAATCGTATAATGTTTAGAACCTAATTTTAATTGTAATCCATAAATTTTCATCATTATGTTTACGTTCTTTTTCGTCTTCGACAAAATTTGGTTCCCAAATTTTTATATTTCGAGAGTTTTAAAGTATTCATGGAGTATTCACTAATTACTGCTCAATACAAATCTATTGTATCTCTACACTTTCCGTTTAGAAATTTAATGATTCTGATATAAGCTATAAACAAACAATTAACTTACCACACAACAATTGATAAAGCATT